AGAACTCATGGGAAGACATGTAAACACCCTGAAAGCAAAACAGGATGAATGCAGAATGAATGTTCATTGTCAGAAAAGACCAGGCTTAGTCTAACCACCATGTAAACTTCATGCAAACAAATCTGGATGAATGCTGAATAAACAGGTCATCTAGAGGAGACCTTTCTCGCCTCTAGCTATGCTCTTGCCCCCCTCCAATCTGCCTTCCACCCTCCACTCACCATGGCACTGAAGCTATCCTCCCCCAAATCTCTGATGATCTTCGCACACATCAATCCAAATGTCTCTGCTCAGTCCTCATCCTCCTTGACTTCTCTGCTGCCTTCAATACAGTTTATTCCTTGCTTGATTCCCCTTATGCCCTCCACCTCTGGAGTTGCATCTTCAGTAGGTTCCCCCTCTGTAGACCCTCTATATGCACCACAGGTTATGGGTTTTGAATGAGGTAAAACTTTGATGCTTGGAGACTCATGCAGAAGTTGAACAAATAAGAAAGATTTTTCATATAGGACAAAGTTGGTCAAGCAAATGATTTGTCAAGAGATCAACTTCTTTTAGGAAACAGTTAACTTATTAATAATCATACTAAAACCAGTGGATGTTACAGGCTTCTAAACAAGGTAGTAAACACACAGCTTGCTTCTTTTAATTTTCAGTTGCTTATTTTTAGTTATTACTCTTCAGTTAGAGATTACAGGTTTCTAGACTAGTTGGTAAATGCTTAGCTTATTTCAAGTTATTTCACTTCAGTTCCTTAACTTAATTGTTGCATAAGTGTTACAGCTTAATACTTTGGTTCTTAACCAAGGTAGCACTTTCTGTCAGTTTCCCAACCTTCTAGCAGTCACACTCCAGAGGCACTTATAGCAGCACAATAACAACACAGCCACGGGGTCGCCACACTCCTCTTGACTGGATTTCGATTCTTCTCTTTCTAGAAGATCTCTCCCCTTCTGACTGAAATGAGACCCAAGTAGACAGTATCCTCCCACCTCTACTTCTCCTTGCTCAAACCCAGCCGTCCAGTTAACTCCTGGCTTAATACTCTCACATGACACTAAACACTGGGTTTCTATCTAAGGTCAGAGACACTTTTTTCTACCTGTAGATATTTTCCTCAGAGTGGATGTTGCACATAGATCAGAACCCGCTCTCTAATTATTTTCTCCCTGCTGCTCTCTCAGACGTTCCCAAACTTTTTTGGCCTACCGCCCCCTTTTCAGAAAAAGAATTACTAAGCACAATCACTAACCCCCAGTGACTGCTTCAGCTGTCCATCACAGTTTGCTTCCTAGCTGCCCAATCATTCTTTCAGTTTCTCCTCATGGGGAGTCCTTCCTCACTTTCCCTCTCTCTCTTTGATCCTCTGTGATTTTCGTTCTGTCCATTTCCTACTGTCTAATCTCATCACAGCCTGTGACATCCAACTCTTCTCTTGCCTTGCCCCAGTCCTCCATTTCCAAGAGTCTCTCTGATCTTCCCCCTTCAGTGCTTCTTCATCATCTCAAGCTGAATACAGTGGTACCTTGGTTTACAACCATGATCTGTTCCAGAGGTCCATTTGTAAACCAAAACAGGTTGTAACCCAAGGCGCACTTTCGCCAATGGGGCCTCCAAAAAAAATTTGTTCGTGATCCAAAAATAAAAAGGGTTATAATCCAAAAAAAGGTTGCAAACCAGGACATGCACTTCAGGGTTTGATGTGTTTGTAATCCAAAACGTATGCAAACCAAGACATATGCAAACCAAGGTACCACTGTATATCCAAGACTAAAACTCATATTTTCCCCTGAACCCCTCCTGTTTCTTATGTTCTTCATAGTCGTTGAAAACATTACCAACAGCAATCCTAAATCCATACATTTGCTACCTTTCTGCCTTCCCCATTCATCAACCGCTAGTGGCTTTAGTTTAAAGTTTTCCCCAAAGGCTTCTGTCCCCTTTCCTTCCTTCCTTCCTTCCCAGAGGCAAGGTAGGGCTTCTCCATGGCTGCAGGAAAACAAATTGCTTCAAGTGCAAGGTAGCAAACTGCAGGGCTGGCTCTCTTGTTCCCTTCCGCCTCCTCTTCATTTTCAATTTTTTGAGGGGAAGGGTGTGGAAGGAGAAACTGCACCAAGCAGAGTATCTCCACCTCCCACACCTCTGTTTGTATTTTCAGAAGCCGTGTACAATTTATCCAATTAAGCAAATGCATTAAGGGCAATAACAGACGGCTCTTCGGCTGGACGATTGCAGTGACTTTCACCAACCTTCTAATATCAACAAGCCTCCATAAACCGTTAGCAGATTTATGCCTTAGTAAGAATCAATCTATTACTTTCAGCTGTAAATCTCATGTGCTTTGGACACAAAGTGAATTTTAATAAAAATCATACAAGGAACTAGACTCACAAGGCCATGTTTCACAGGCCTGCCAGCATTTGAAACCAATTAATAGAGGCATTGGCAGTGAGCAGAGGGGAGGCAACAAAAACATCTCTTTTAGCTCCTGGTGAAACACATGGACAGAGCAAAAGTCATCTGAAGAATAAATTGCAGGGGAGGGAGTTCTTTCAACCTCGGGATCCAGGTATCTTTCTTTAAGCATTTTTGCGGTAGGGAAATCTAATTTTCCCAGCAATACTTTATTGCTGTGGCTCCCAGTTATTGTTTCGATCACAATAGTGGGTGGAAATGTTCTACACCTTGAGCTTAGCCTGGCAGCTAATTGGCAGCTAGTGAAGTTCTTTCAGAAGCTGCTGGATATTGGTGGCACTATTTCTCCCCAATGCACTAGCTGCAGCTTCCAGGCCAATCTCAGGGGCAGCTCCACAAAGAGTGCATTGCAGTAGTCCAGCCCAACAGTGCATGGACATCAGTGATCAGGCTATCCAGCCCAGAAATGGCCAAACCTGCCTTCTAGCTGAAGTTCATAAAAGGCACTTGTAGTCATTGAGGTCACCTGTCTAGTGACAGAGATAGATCCAAGAGGACCCCCAGACTATGAAGCTGCTCCTTCAGGGGGAGAACGACACCATCCAAAGCAGGCTGTTGACCAGCTCTCAGGCATGGGAGCCGTCAACACTTTTAGCTTGTCAGGATTCAGCATCAGTTTGCTGGCTCTTATCCAGCCCACCACTGCAAGTCCAGGGCTGGCATGACCTCTTCTGACGCAGATATTGCAGAGAAATAAAGCTGGATATCCTTAGCGCATTGATGACACCTCACCACAGATCTCCTAATGTGTTCATATGTGATGTGGTCATACCACAGACTAACAGAAAAAAGGTCCGCCTAAAGCTACTCACTGAATTCAGGGCAAAGGTGAGACTGCAGTCCAATTTTCCTGCCACAGGATTTTGGCCATGACACAGCACCAACTATCTCCATCGGAGAGGACTCAGTCCTCCAGAACCCTCCAGAATCTGAAAGAAAGAAAACACATATCTGAGATGCTTTGTGTTAGTTTACAGCTGTTCGCTTGTAACTTCAAGTATTACTTCATAACTTTATTCAGAGTTAGTTATGGTGTGCAATTATGCATGTAAAAGACCCTTCATTATCTCGGAACTCAGTTATTTTTGACTAACAGCAATAAGATGTAACACAGTTAAATAACAAGACTGTGGGATGGGGGAAGCAAAGAGGAATTGTAAATATAATCCCAATAATTGTATTGGAGGCCAGGATTTATAATTACTAAATGTGTGATAACGGCTTCCTAAATGCCCATGCTCTTTAAACAACCTAATTTATAATTTAAAAAGCTGACAATCCTTAAAGTGTTTTACTTTATCTTGTCTGGAATAATGGAAGAGTAAGTTATTGAAAACCTTTATTTTTCATTAGCCTTAAATTCAGCGACAATTAATGTGCCCAATTTGATTATAAACTGCACAAATTAAACAATAAAGAGCTGTCTAATGAGAAATTAATTATGAGGAACAGAAGAGGAGCTGGGCTGGATAAAAGTAATAAGTTATGGCCGATGGCAGATGTGTCAGCTTTTAAAGGAGACAAAGGGCTTTTTCCTCCATGTGTGCTGGTGCTGATATGGCTCATCACAGATCAGTAGATCCAGAAGCCGTAACAGCACAGTAATTGAAACTGCCAAAATCAATAGCACTGACAACCTTAATTAAATTAAATATGTCTCTGATGAGCTCCAACAGCATGGCAGCGGACCACTTGACCCTTTCTCCCAGGCTTCCTTGACGGGATTCAGCACACTGCGTGATGGATTCCACCCCCCGAGGACATTTGGAGCACTCCAGCTACTATTGGAAATTGCTCCAGGAGTAATGGCCTTCCCGGTGGAACAAGGGTTTTTGACTTACAATGTGCAGTGCAAGGGGCGGGGGGGGGGGAGCACAGTTTCTTTCTACAGCCACCATTGGACTGGGGTGGCGGAAGAATCCTCAGCTGAACTGATCTTCTCCCCCTCACTTTTTAAACCTCGCTAAACAGTCTCGCTAGATGCTTGCTAGAAAATCAGCTCACAATCTCTTAGGCAAGCAAAGCGTTGTAGAGTGGTGGAAACAGTGCTGGACTTTGGCTGGGGCCTGGGGCCACCAAAATGCTGGTGCCCAACTTTATCTCTCCTTTCCATCTGCATCTGAGGAGGCTGTTTCTGTGCTAAGCCAGTATCCATCAATAATGGACTGGATTGTGGAGAACAAATTGAAGCTGAATTCAGACAAGACAGGGGTGCGCCCAATCAGTCAAAAAGCAGATCAAAGAACAGGGATTCAACCCATACTGGATGGGGTTCCTCTCCTCCTGAAAACTCAGGTTATTCCTCTTGCATGTACTCCGAGATTCAATGCTTAGTCTAGACACCCAAGTTTCCATGGTGGCTTGGAGAGAATTTACCCATTTACAGTAAAACTTAGTGCACCAGCTGCACCTGTTCCTAGAGATATCTGATGTGACCACACTGATATATGCCATAGAATCACAGAATTGTAGAGCTGGAATTGACCCCCAGGGTCATCTAGTCCAGCCCTGCAATACAGGGATCTTTCATCCAATGTGGGGCTCAAACCTATGACTCTGAGATTAAGAGTCTCATGATCTTCCAACTGAGCTATTCCAGCAACCTTGGTTGCATCGTGTTGGGATTACTGTAACACACTTTACATGGAACTTCCTTTGGAAACCTCAGCAGGTCCGAGATGCTGCAGCCAGGTTGCTGACTGGAGCCAGTTATAGGAAGAACAGAAATGCCTTGTTGCAATAGCTCCACTGGCTAATACTCCATTTCTGGGCAAGATTCACAGCACTGGTTTTGACTTACAAAACCCTATACAGCTTAGGTCCAGACATCTGAAGGACCGTACCTCTCTATATGAGCATTCCCAGGTTCTGATATCTTTTGGGTAAACCTCTCTCTCAGTCCCACCACCCTCATAGGGATGCCTGAATAGGACACAAGAGAGAAACACATTGTGGCATTCATTATCGCTTAACCCAACTTACCTCACAGGCTTGTTGTGCTGACACAATAGGGTAAGGAATCTTAGAGTAACATGGGATCGGGTGTAATTTACAAACCAACTTTCCTCCATGAATGGTCCTTGGAGGCCACTCCTAAGGCCCCAGCCTGAGTAAGGAAGAGGGCCAACATCCAAAGTCCTCTGGAATTGCAGAGTTGGAAGTGTGCCCAAGAGTCATGTAGTCCAACCCCCTGAAATGCAGGAATCTCAACTAAATCATCCATGACAGATGGCCATCTGACCTCTGCTTACAAACCTCCAAAGAAGATGAGTCCACAACCTCCTGAGGGAGTCTGTTCCACTGCCAAACAGCTCTTACTGTCAGAAAGTTATTCCCAATGTTAAGTCAGAATCTTCTTTCTTGTAACTTGAAGCCATTGGTTCAGAGCAGGAGAAAACAAGTGAATGAAACAAGTGCCCCAGCCCCTCATCCTTTGACTACCTGCTTGCAGTGCCAAGGCTCTCCTTTGGAATTTAGAAAGGAAGAATAGGTACCTTTAAGCAGGCACAGGGTCCTTTCCCTCACTAATGAGAAAGTACAGAGACTGGTTGTCAGGTCAGAGGAGAAAGGTTCCAGATAGCCTCAGCATCTCTTTTCGTAGAAACGAAGCTACGTCATTTGGAAAGCAAAGACTGGGTCATGAAAAAGAGAAAATTGACTGAGAAACCTTTTGGCTTGTCTCTGCGTTATGCAGAAAAATGTACATTATAGGCATCTAAAAAGGCAAAGGAACTTGGAGAGTCCTTGTGACACAAAGCCCTTGATAGTCAAGTTCCACTGTAAAGCGGACATTTGTTTCCTCCTGAGGAAATTTGCTTGAGTAAATATTTTCACAGAAGACTGTTCTGTTGACTGTGCATCGGCTGACTTCCTAAACAGCATTAAATAATCACCTCTCTAGGTTTTCAAAATGTTTATGTCAGCATTTACAAACTCCTCCTTCATTATAGGCCTGTCAAAAGATCAGAGGCCAAGATTATTGCAACAGATTCCTTGGAAATGCTAAAGTTGTTGCCTTGACAACTCCAGAGACAGCAGACACTTCAGCTGGCCAAGCTGTGCTTTTTGCTGTAGCAAAGAGTTTGAACTAATCAGCTGGGGGGAATACAGTCCTCAGGCAGACACCTTCAAGCTAAACCCAGAAGGAATCGTAAAATATCCCAGTATATATGGTGTCGAATCAGGCAACACAGCAGACAACAGCTTCCTGTCAAGCAGTGCTTTTTTCTGGGGGAACGCAGGGGCACACATACCCCTAAACATTTTGTGAATCTAAGTTTGGCCTCATTGAGGGGCAGTATTTCAATATGAGTAGGAAAATGAGAATAGCCCCTAAACATTTTTTTTTTGGGGGGGGGAGCACTGCTGTCAAGAATATATGAGCTAGAAGGTACCTGGTTATAAATATTTGGTTTCCTCCCTGGGATTTTGAAGTACAGTGGTATCTCAGGTTACAGACGCTTCAGGTTACAGACTCCGCTAACCCAGAAATAGTACCTTGGGTTAAGAACTTTGCTTCAGGATGAGAACAGATATCGTGCAGCGGCAATGGGATGCCCCATTAGCTAAAGTGGTACCTCAGGTTAAGAACAGTTTCAGGTTAAGAACAGACCTCCAGAACGAATTAAGTTCTTAACCCGAGGTACACTGTAGGCTGGATCTCACTGGTGGCAAAGCAGAGATCTGCTGTCCTGAGTTGGGCAAGTCACAGTTCTCAGTCTCCCTTGTTTCAGATGTTTATACACACACCTATGCATGGTTGACAGCCTGGTTAACATCTCCTGCAGGATTACACACAACTCTACAGACTTCAGCAACTTCAGCTGCTCTGATTTCAGCTAGAATCACCAACACACTTTCAAGACTATCTTTGCAGCTTCAAGGGACAGAAACTTTTTATTACTGCATTTACGGGAATCTAATGCACCATCAAATCTAATGCGCACCTCAATTTTCAAAACCTTGAAACCAAAAAAGTTTTTGCTGGTGCACCTTAATTTCCTCTATGTAATTTGGCCAAAATAGGTGTGAATTACATTCGATATTAAACAAAAGCCAAGATTCTCTTGAAGCTAACTTTGGCCCCCAATATCACCCCACAGGAGCTCACAATGCCATCCTGCATCACCCAAGCTTCTGAATATTACATATATTTCACACCTCCCACTATGAGCAGTTAAGTGTAAGAAACACACGTTAAGGAAACTGATGCAAGGAAAGAGGAAGGCCTCTCAGGGATGATAAAACGTTAAAATACTAAGTTTCCCCGCCCTTTCATTCCAAAGCTGTCCTGGCACAACTCCTGTAGCTCCTTCCAATCAAATCACTGCTATGAAAGTCTACGATAAATAGCTGCGAAGAGATTCCATTGTCCCCCTCACTTCTCCTTAGAATGTCTCCTCTGCCGTTATGTCTACAAATCTTTGGCAGTAGCTCGGCAGCTGGTTTGCCAGGATCGCAGCTTGTCGTGCTGCTCACAATAAACTCTTTGTTGCTTCACACTCTTCCATCTGTTTCTTTCACCAATCTCTTGTCTCCTCACTACCATTGTCTGCTCACGGAGGCAATACAAAGCTGCACTTCCTCGTGGGTTGACGCGGGAACAACGACGGAACAGTTCATGATGGATTCTGATGCTTGGATAATGGTGCAGTGCAGGATATAAACTGAAGAAGCTAATAAGCATCCATTGCAGACCAGCTCACACAATCAAAAAGCTCATTTTCATGTCGAAAGCACATCTAGTGGAGCATGGAGTAAGCTAGCTAGCAAAAGAGCATTAAAAAAAACAGTAGTTACCGACATCATGGACAGTTTAAAAGTGGCTGTGGGTCATTGATGGTTCTGTGCAGAAATCCAAAGTTCTCACTAGCTAGCTCCTGATCAGAAAATCTACTTCTTGTTACTGTCTAATCAGAAGCAGTTTTCTTCTCCCTGCCAGCAATATTCAATGACTGGATGCTATTTATGTGTCAGGCTGCATGCCAGGGGCCAGTGAGAACGTCTCTGGCCTGCTGGCCTTATTGCAATGCTATACTCAATTACTCAGCAAGAAGCCCCATTGAATTCAGTGGGACACACTTCGGAGCAGAAATCTGCTTCAAGCCTCTGAACAAGTTGGTTGCAATTTAGTAGGCAGCATAGTGAAGATAATGTGTGGGTCCTTTGTTTATCAAGTTTGGGTTTTCTTTTTCTTTTTCACAACATTTCATTGATAGTGTGTCTTTATACAGGCATTCATACATATATGCATAAATACATACAGTTATAATAATATCTATCCAAGTTAACACAAAAAAATAAACATTGTTTTAAATTGCTAGGCCTTCTGTATTCTAAAACAGATGTACAAAAGGAAGTGATAGATTAAAAAATATGATTGCATGGTAAGGTGCCTGTAGCACAATATTCCTTCAGATTTTGACAAAAGGATCTGCTTTATCCCATCTATGCAGTAGTGTTTAGTACTAGTAAATTAATACCCTCCAACATGTGTCTGATGAAAACAGGGACATCCTATTCCATTAGTATAATAATAATAATAATAATAATAATAATAATATCCCCTGCCCATCTGACTGGGTTGCCCCAGCCACTCTAGGTGGCTTCCAACAAATATAAAAACATAATAAAACATTAAACATGAGAAAATACTTCAGATGTCTTCTAAAAGTCTTCTAAAGGTTGCATAGTTACTTATCTTGTTGGCTCGGGGGTCACATAACTCCATACCCTCAGATGAAAATAGGGAAGTCCTACCATACCCTCCAAGATTTCTCCAATGAAAATAGGGACGTCCTAAGGAAAAATGGTACATTCTGGGATCAAATCAGAAACCAAGACGGCTTTTTAAAATCCGGGACTGTCCCTGGAAAATAGGGATACTTGAAGGGGCTGGTAAATTGGGTTGCTTACTTGCCCTTCACTATAAGGCTCTGGGGCAGATTACAACAATGTAAAAATGCAAACATGAAATCAGAGGTGCCTGGTCCCCATTGGGATGGGGAGGGTGGTAGGCCGAGGGGTGGGAGCTGGAGCCAATTAATTATTGTGTGTGTCCCCCCCCCACCGCTCCCCTCAGCTGAGTTCTACAAGGGCAACACACAGACTAAGGAAAGTGGAGGAAGCTAACTGCCAAGGCTACGTCATTTGACTGGTTGTAAGTAAGAAAGGAGGAAAGTTTGGGCTCCTTAAGGGCAGACTAAGGTTAGTGGGTCACTGCCCCATTGGCCCAAATGAACCAGCTTCTGCCGATTAACATCTTAAAACAATTAACTATCAGAAGATGGGGGGCGGTCCTAAAAATATGCCTCAGGGGTGTAAAAGGCCAGGGTGAAGTCATGTGACTTTAGCATATGTAGTATGGGGCTCCAGGAGCTTACAGAGGGTCCAATTTCCTTGGAATGAGAAGCAAGAGAGACTGTGGTGTCTTTATGATATACGGTTTATTTCCTGAGCCAATGATGGAAGGGCTCACAGCATTAACACCCCAAGAGGTCTTGCTTCTTCCATTGTCCTAGCCATGGGTTCAAGCAGAAATCAGGCATGGCTCTGACTTCCTGGCTTCTGCCTGCTTCTAACCCAGCTCTCTCACACAT